TTATACTGTATTTGTGTTTATTTTTCCATCGTGTCGATATTTTATACCAGTGATTTATATCGCCATAACCTCCCTCTCCGGTAAACATTGCCACAGATTTAGAAAACGTTTCTGGCCCTTGACCAAGACCTTCTTGTGGGGGAAGGGGTGAGAAGCCAGACTTTAGAAAAGGAAACTTGGCAGAGATAAAGGAACTCCTGGACGCAGCGCAGTGGGAAAAGAGCTGGAAACAAAGTGAGGAGTTGAGGTGATGGAGTACTTCGCTGGAAAGTGTCGGGTGGAAGAGGAGAACTTGATACCCAGAAGGTGCAATAGCAGAGACGTAGAGAGCCAGATATACAGTGAGACAAAAAAGAGAAACATAGGAGCGTAGGAAAACTAGAGAGATCATCTGAGATTATATATACCCAGGATGACTCGAGTATGGAACGATGGAAATAAATGGTATAAAATACCGACACAATGGAAATATAAACATAAACACATTATACTGCATTTGTGTTTATATTTCCATCGAGTATGGAACACATTCGTACAGCATAATGATGTCAACGAGATAAAGTCAGTTGATCAAATGAAAATGCTGGCCCACAGATGGCTCCAACTTCATCCTGTTCCCTACTTGTATGTCTCATAACAATAAAAATGCTTTCAAATGAGCTGATGTAGGCAACAGCTCTTAGCTTGCCAATAAAGTTAAGAATCCTTAACCTGTAAATAGCTTGTCAATAAAGCTAGGGATCCTTAACCTTGTCAAACCCTGTGTAAAAATAGAGAGAGAGAGAGAGAGAGAGAGAGAGAGAGAGAGAGAGAGAGAGAGAGAGAGAGAGAGAGAGAGAGAGAGAGAGAGAGAGAGAGAGAGAGAGAGAGAGAGAGAACAGAACAGAACAGACGAGAACAGAGAAGCAATCAGACATATAGGTGGGTGAGAATGGTTGGTTTTGAGAAGGACCTGCCTTGCATGGGCCAGTAGGCCTGCAGCAGTGTTCCTCCATTCTTATGTTCTTATACGAATACGGAAGAGTGAGGGAGATAAGCTGAGACACAATTTGAAATTGGCATAGTAGCCAAGACCAAATCTGATCTAAAACTACCTCAACGACTGTAAAGAACCTGATAAACTGACTGATGAAGGAAGGAGGAGAGCTCACAATGACGAGGAAATCCACGAAGAGATCTCAGTGGCACCGGCAACACAAGAAGAGGGAGACGTAAATCTTCAAGAGGTAGTGATGCTAGTATGAGGTTCTTGATCCAAGGCGCTTGATCACTCAAGCGCTGTATGACCCCTACTGGTATAAGCGCTTCCAGCTGAATGTAGTACAATAATTTTGGTGAACTGGAGTTGAGGTGCACACACTGACACCACACACAGATGTGCACACACTGACACCACACACAGATGTGCACACACTGACACCACACACAGATGTGCACACACTGACACCACACACAGATGTGCACACACTGACACCACACACAGATGTGCACACACTGACACCACACACAGATGTGCACACACTGACACCACACACAGATGTGCACACACTGACACCACACACAGATGTGCACACACTGACACCACACACAGATGTGCACACACTGACACCACACACAGATGTGCACACACTGACACCACACACAGATGTGCACACACTGACACCACACACAGATGTGCACACATTGGCACCACACACAGATGTGCACACACTGACACTACACAGATGTGCACACACTGACACCACACACATGTGCACACACTGACACCACACATAGATGTGCACACACTGACACTACACACAGATGTGCACACACCAACGCCACACACTGATGTGCACAACACACACACACACACACACACACACACACACACACACACACACACACACACACACACACACACACACACACACACAAACACACACAGTAGCGATCAGTGAAGAGGCGGGGCCAGGAGCTGAGTATCGACCCCTGCAACCACAATTAGGTGAGTACAATTAGGTGAGTCCACACACATAACGACATGACGGAAGGGATAGACTCAGAAGTGTCCCTGTTTGCAGATGACGTGAAGTTAATGAGGAGAATTAAATCAGACGGGGACCAAACAGGTCTACAAAGAGACCTGGACAGGCTGGATGCGTGGTCCAGAAACTGGCTCCTAGAATTTAACCCCGCCAAATGCAAGGTCATGAAGATCGGAGGAGGGCAAAGAAGACCGCAGACAGAGTATAGACTAGGAGGCCAAAGGCTGCAAACCTCACTCAAGGAGAAAGATCTTGGGGTGAGTATAATACCGAGTACATTACCAGAAGCACACATTAACCAGATAACTGCTGCGGCATATGGGCGCTTGGCAAACCTGAGAATAGCATTCCGGTACCTCAGTAAGGAATCGTTCAAGACTTTATACACTGTGTACGTCAGGCCCATACTGGAGTACGCAGCACCAGTTTGGAACCCACACCTGGTCAAACACGTCAAGAAATTAGAGAAAGTGCAAAGGTTTGCAACAAGGCTAGTTCCAGAGTTAGGGGGAATGCCCTATGAAGAAAGGTTAAGGGAAATCGGTCTGATAACACTGGAAGACAGGGAGGGGGATCAGGGGAGACATGATAACGACATACAAAATACTGCG